TTTTTTTTTTTTCTGTCTTTTCCTCAATGCGCCTGCCCGGTGTGTTGCCAGGGAGCCAGCAGCCGATACAACAAAGGTGTGGGTTGCCAAAGCCGAGACTGCACCTGTTGCTGCTGCTGCTGCTGCGATGGCAGACTCTCACGCGGCGTATCTCTCCGTCCATTTCAGTGAGTGCGCGCCAGTGGACGGCAACTGTGTTCACAGCCCCGATGCTGTGGCGTGGAGCCCGCATAACGTGCTGCTGGTTGCCACACAGTGGTCGCTGTATCTGCACGTGAATGGCCTCATCGCCAGTGACGCCGTTATTCGCCCTGCGTACCCGTCACGTGGGGACACATCATCGCAGATGTGCATCGCCGGGGCGAAGTGGGGGCTGGATTTGGTACCAGAGGAAGCCTACCCCGCGGCGTGCCGGCTTTGCGTGCGAACAACACGTGACCTCTTTGTGTACCGTGTCATTCGATACGGCACAGGTCGACTTCGTGTCAGTAAGGGTGTCTGCTTCATCCCGAAGGCCGCCTCGAATAAGGGTGGTGAATCGGAATCAACAGCGAAGAGGGGACGTAAAAGAACACGTGCAACTTCAAATGCCGCTAATACGAATACTACTGCTGATGGTGATGGTGATGGTGCTGCTACTACCACTGACCAGAGTCAAGCGCCAGGGGTCGATGGACCAGGGTACTGCGTGGTCAGTTACGAGTGGTTCCCGCAGGATATGCTCGTCGTGGTCACGCTCGGTGCCATTTTTCTACTCGACCTGCACGGAAATAGCACCGACGAGGAGGTGCCGCAGCAGCAGCTCTTCCCCGATCCTGCGTACCGCTTTTCTGGGAGTGCAGTGGCAAGACTGACGCCGTCGTGTGCAACACGGGTGGTTGGGGGCGGTGCAGCAGACGCACGGCTTGTCGTAGCGAGCCCGTACTGCCTCCGCATCTTCACCATTGTTTCTAAGCATCTCTGGTTTAGCCACTACGTGGAGGTTCCCGCGTTGTGTGGTGTTCCAGCAGCTCTCTGTGGCATGTTAGACAACCTCGACAGCTCTCTCCTGCGCGTATTCGTCTCTGCTCCTGGATGCGTTCTTCACGGCAGCGTCTCTGTGGCCGCATCGTCCAAAGGTGGCGCAGCCACGAAGATGCAACAAGCAGAGTGGAACGCGACGGAGTTGTGGGACGCCGTAACCGAGCTTGGTGACGAGATCTCTGTGTCTCGCTTTATAACCATTCCGCTTGGCTCCTTTGCACCACTCGTGATGGAAGCAGCTGATGGTGATGGTGATGTCAGGGACGCTGGTCCGGATGCCTGTGGTGATCGTCGTGGGCCTTTCCTCGTGCTGGGTGTCTGTCAGCGGCGCCTGTTGGGGTTTGTGGGGCAGCGCTGCATTACGCTCCTTCGCTGTGCGCGCGTGGAGGGTGCCGTGCCGCCGCGTAACGTCGCGCTGGAGCTGTCGGGCGTAGCCATTCATCCATCTTGCACATTGGCGGTGGTTGGTGTGCGACTTGG